TCGATTGTATTAGAAATAAGGTGTAGTTTGTTGCTGTATGTATGCACATTTAAGCCTTTGACTGGAGAATTGATTAATGGTCCACTTTTGCAATATTTTAATTTTTAAACTTAGAATAAGTCAACCATTCTGAAAACCAAAATTTGATAGTTTGAATGTTCTTTCCTAATTCATTCGAGTGTGTATAGCTCTTGTTTATTATTGACCAAGTAGAATTGGAAAATGACTGGTCATGCTAGAAGAATATTCTTATTCACATTCATATATCAATCACGTCTAAAAAAAAAAAAAAAAAAAAACAATTATTTTGTTGGTGTTGGTACATAGCCTTTTATCAATATATATATGTAGGTGTTTGAAATGTAATAGTCTAACTCAAATAATTCTGAAGTGACACGTTCATGTCTAGTAAGTTTTTACATCCCTTTATTATTATTCTTTGAATATTACTGTCGATTATCTTCTCTACTAAATATCTAAACATAATTTTAAAAATTACTTTTCTAATTGAACTAGATGTGCTAACCAAAATATTACAACATTTCAGTAACTAAGCTAACCATATGCCCCTTCAAGTACTGCAAGAGTAGCAACTAAAGAAGGATGTTCTTCCTATTAAATCATTAATGTCCTAAACAAACCTTAACCTTAAATTTCTAGCTGCCCAACTTACTGGCTTAAACTTACCATTTTCATCTAATGGATTCAAATTTCACTTTATGAGCTACATTAACTTTCTCTTAAAATAACAATCTCACTTTAATTATCATTCCACAAGTTGATAATGATTACTTTTCCAAGACTACAAAAATCATAAGATTCCATTATTCCAACCTTCGAATAACTTCTCACCAATATTTGGAACTCTCTATTATTTGTAACGATTACCTTTCAAGGCAAAAAGTCATAAGATTCCATCATTCCAACCTTCGAACACTTCTAACCAGTGTCGGGAACTTTCTATTATTTGTAGAAATGTTTTTATTTAATATTGTCAATATTGTTCTTTGTCCCAATATTCAAGATTTAAAAACCTTACACTTATCTTGATATTTAAACTGGGCCAACTTGCTTAATGTCCAAATTGTCGATCACAATGATTAATTATTTAGGTTTTATTAGCTTAACTTACTTTGATTATCCCAACTAAGAATCCAGTTTAGTAGCATTTAGTGGTCTCAAAATACAATAACTCCATACTTTAGACCCAAGGGACTCGAGCCTTTGTTGACCTGCGGAATTATGAGTATTCATAAATAAATTAACAAGGAAGAAATGAAAATTGGTTAAAGAATAAAGTCATTTATGCAGGATTAAAAACAGGGGAGTAAAGAGATATCTGATATGTCAAAAAATGAATGAATGTTTTTATTTTAATTTTTCAAATTGTTCAATTGTACGTCGACACGTATTTATCTGAATTTGAGTCTGAATGTATAACATGATTAGTAAAAATAATAATAAAATAGCATTTACTAGATATTTGTAACCAAAAATAAATGCGTGCGAACACACATGCAGCGCAGGTACGTGTAACCAAATCCCACGTGAACACCAGGCGAGAACGGCGGCTAACAGAATACAACACTGCGAACACCCCACTTGACATCACGTGAAATCCACGCAATGGATGCGGCCAAAACAAGGCAGTTTAAAAATAAAGACGTTAATAAATAGGCAATAGTAAAGGCATTTAACGGCGGCGGTTAATGAAACCCTGGTTCATGTTATCACAGCAAAATCTGAGAATCACGAATTAATAACACCTTTACAACAATTCACAGAAATCTAAATTTAATATTCCAATTTTAATATTTACTTTAGCCAAAAACTTTGTACTTAATTTCTTTTTCAGTTCTAAATTCACTGAATATTTCTAGCGCCGAATTTATAATAATCCTAAAAGGATTTGGAAAGAGGAAGAAAACCAATTAATTTTGGCTTTCAATTTTTCCACGCTTTTGCACCTACTGTGGACGAGAATGGGAATATTTCATGTTCGGCGCGTAGCAGAAATGGCTAGGGTTCCTTTCCCGATAGCAATTGTACTTCCTTGCAGTCGCTGGAAATCCAACCTCCGGAGAGAAACGCCGGTACGTCGGGTGAGCATGATAACATGCGGTGGCTGCAGGAACTGGCTTACGCAGAGCGGATGGGAAATCAAAACACGACATCGGATAACGCGGAGGAGAGATTTTGTTTGGTGGTTTGATTGGAAATAGCATGGCTGTGATTTTCGTCTCCGGTGAAAGTCGATCGTATTCTCCAATCACAGTCTTCAGATCCTCGTCACAAGTGATCGAAACTAAAACATCTAAATCTTCGCTTGGTAGCTTAAACTTCAACTTCATCGAGTCTCCACATGACTCTTCAAATTTCGCCATCAGTTCTGCATGAATTCCAAAAATATTTCAGTTTCATCAAGAAATTTCAAAAACTACTACTAATTCAAACAGAAAAAAATTAACGAACCTTCGAAAGTTGTCAATCGATCGACGGACATCACTCGGGTGAAACCGCCGGTGTAATGAAGCTTTCCGTCAATGGGACTAGGGACGATTTTACCACCATAATTGTAGAGGAATTTAATTGTTTGTGTACAGTTTGAATTCAAGTTTTGAGTCATTGTATGGGCTTTGGTGAGACAGACTGACAGAGGAAAGCTTAGAGAGAGAATTTACTGGCACCTTCAAACCAAAAAGGGCGTCAGTGCGAGACCTATTTGTAGAATTTGTGATTGTTTTTGGAATAAAATATATAAATATTAAGTCAACGCACTAAAGGAAAATAATTAACCAATTGATGCTGATACTCGCTACTAGGGCGTGTTTGGTGCTAATAATGAATATTATGTCCCTGTTTGGTATAGATTAAAATTACAATTTTTAGTAAATTTTGACAAAAATTGATGAAATATGTAATTGATAAGTTGTAAGTTCCATGAAATAAATTGTTAAAAATTAATTATTAACTTAAATTTAGATTAAAATTAAAATTATAATTTTAATTTCAATTTCTACTAAAATAGGGGCTATACATGGAACTTTACATATAATAAGAGTGTGTTTGATTATAAACATAGAATTTTCATGAAAATTATTAATTAAGAGTGCATTTGATTGCTAATTTTTCTATGAAAAATATCATTTTTAACCAAAATTCTTACTTTTGTATTGTTTGATTGAAATTTTTTTCATGAAATTTTTTTCTACTTTTGGTCACTTGACCACATTTTTCTTGAAAACAATGAAAATATTTTCTTTACGGGAAGTAAGGTTTTATTTTTCAAATAATTCACTCTCCATTTTCTCTCTCTTCTACTTACCAATAGATAATGGATAAGTATAACATTTTTTAATTTGAAAATAAAATTAATCAAACATATTTAATCGACAAATTTCATGTAAATAATTTCTAGACAATTCAATCACCTATAATTTATTTTCTTTTCATATAAATTTCATATTTGCAATCAAACACACCCTAAATATATTTATTTGGTTTAATTTTTAACTTAAAAAAATATTATACTTATTCATCTTTTATTGGTGGATGGATGAAATGGAGAGGGGTAGATGAGAGAGAGTGTGTGATTGAGGGAGTGAATTTTCTAGAAAATAAAAACCTACCTCTCTCTAAAGAAAATATTTTCTTTATTTTTGAAGAAAATATAGTCACATGATCAATTTTGAAAAATATTTTTCAAGAAAAAAGAAGTCAATCAAACACCCTAAAATAAAGTTAATCAAACTCACCTTTAAAGTCACGTGACTTTGAGTCCACCCCCAACCCCGAAAAATAAAATAAAAATAAAATTCATCATTGAAATTTTTAATTTCTTTCCAATTTATTCTTATTACAAAATGTAGCACCCTTTTTGCATGGCATATAGAACAAACAATTTTCTCAAGACATTATGAACATTAACAAGACATTCTCGAGTTATGCAATAATTAGTTACCTCATACTACGCGCTTATTGGGAGTGATCTGGACATTCAAAGATTTTTTACACCACGTGGCGATGGTATCCCTACTACACGTGAAAATACCATTAATAATGTAAACAAACTTAAATATGATCAAATTGTGACAACGATCAAATCATGAGAAGTTGACACGCATCCAAAATGTATAAAATGGTCGAAAGTATCCTCCACCTCGTTTTTCTATAAATATTTTATTCAAAATCAATCGACTTTTTGAAGTGTAAATGACGGATAAACCCTCTCCTTAGAACGGTTACCTTATCAAGTAATATACACGAATAATAAATTGATATCGTAAAATGTGAATGTTAACAATATTAGAAGTGCAAAGATAAAAATGTTATCAAACCCAACGGAATGTAGCTCTTGTTTGATGGGAATTAAAATCTGATTTTTAGTAAATTTTAATAGAAGTTGATGAAATGTATAATTGAAAAATTGTGAGATGTATAAAATGTGTTATTAATTTTAACTTAAATTAAAATTTGAATTTTAACTCTTACCAAAGATGGGCATAAGCTAATATAAATATGGTGGTGGCGAGGGGGGTGGGGCGGGGGGAAGAGAATATCAATTTTAGTCATTCTAAAATGCTCGTACGAAACGCGGCCTTGTCATTTCCTCCCAAATGAAATAGGGATTTCAGATTTGAAGCACCCTGAGACGGGCCTTTAAAGGTTTGCCACGTAGAGGGTCGTTAAAAGTCAACTCAAATTGATTGGTTGATATAGCCCACACTGACACAGTTGGTCACATCGTATGGTTACACCTTATTTATTGCTATTGGCCTTTGGGGGGCTTTGCATTTTTGGTGGCCCCACTGTGTTTGTCGTTTCTTTCTCCAAATTATTGAATTAATAAAAGAGTTCATATTAAGCCCTATTTGACCCCAATGAAATTTATACTCATTTTAAAATATATTCTTTTAGATTTTTATCCACATATTCTAAAAAAAAAAAATCTTCTAATAATTAAAATTCCAAATAATGGGGACCAAACGGGCGGTTAAACCGTTGTTTGATCCATATTATGTCAAAAATACATTTGGTTATTTCTTATTTTTAATCACATATTTTTCAATAATGTTACAAGTAAATTCAAAAAATTTCTTTACTTTTTAACCACATGTTCTTCATTAATCTACTATTCGAAAATGTACTCTTAACCAAATAATGAGATGCAAACAAGGGCTAAGATAAGACAATCAAAGCAATAAGAAATTGAATAGAATAAGGTCCTGTTTAATACATATTATTTGAAAAATTAGAGAATTTTGAATAGTATTTCTACGTGATTAAAAAGTAAGGAAATTTTATTAATTTGTGTGTAAAATATTTTATTGTATAAATATGTGGTAAAAAATGATACCACAACAAAAATTTTAAACTTTTAAAGATTGCCAAACAGGAGCTTAATTATGGACAAAATCTATGGAGATTTATTTCAATTCAAATACATATCCGTTTTTAAATAACTAGATATTCAATATCAATGCTTTAGAGAACCAAACTCTATTTCGGAGAAAACTCGAAATAATTTCGAATAAAATCTCTAGAAACTTGTTATAATTCAAATACATAATCGTTTTATTAATTTTATAGACCCTTCATATCAAGCTTGATTTAATTCTTCTTAATCAAGATAAAACTACAAACTGAGAGTTTGTAAAATCGAACACTAAGAGTGTGTTTGATTGACATGGAAAATATCAGTTAGAAAAAAAATGTTTTCCATTTTTTGTGGAAAATAAAAACTACCTCTACCTAAGGGAAATATTTTTCCTAAAAATAAGGAAAATTAGGCCCCGTTTGATTACACGAAATTTTCCATGGAACTTGGAATTCGAATTCCAACTTCCACTTTTGGCCTGTTTGATTGACAAAATTTTCCAGGGAATTGATTTTTCATGAATTTCTAGGTACAACACCTTAAAGCGTGATTTTCCAACTTTTTTTTCCTAGGGGATAGGTGGTTTTTGGTTTTCCACCTTATTTTTATTTTTTATTTTTTGCTTTTTTTATTTTTTTTTAATTGTTGGCAATGGGAACAAATTTTAGGAATAATTGTAAAAGAGGATATCCCTGAAATTGACAATTTCCACGTAAAACAAAGTCAAACGAACATCAAAAAATACTTTTACTTCAACATTTTCCACGTGAAAAATTTATACAATCAAACACAATAATTTACAATTTTCATGAAAACAATTTCTAGGTAATTCAATTCCCTGGAATTCATTTTCTTTCCATGTAATTTTCCTACTTGTAATCAAACGCACCCTTAGACATATTTTCAAAAGTTGAAAAATATTTTCCATAGAAAAAAATAGCAATCAAACACTCCAAGTAGAAATTTAGGTGGAAAATTGATATTTTTCATGAAAAATAAATGTAATCAAACACACACTAATAGTTCAAAGTACATTATTTCGGACAAAATCTCTAAAGACTTGTTTTTAAATCATGCACATATTTGTTTGACTAAACTTAATAGACCGTTGTAATTAGCTGGTGAAACATATTAATTACCACCTAATTAGTAGTTGAATAACAGTTGAATTCAATTGGGCATAATCTCCAGAGAGTTATTTTTAGTTCAAACACAATTTGACTAATATAATAGACTACCGAGTGAAACTGAGTCCCTGTTTGATGTCCATTACCTGAAAATGAAAATGGAGGGAATAATATTTTTTAGAAAAATGAGTGGTTGAAAAAAAAAGTTTTCGATTTACGTGCAATATTATTTTATGGAAGATTGTGTGGTTGAAAATAGGAGAGAGAAAAATGGAATGTAATATAATTTAATTTAATGGGGATCAAACAGGGGCTGATTAACTGCCATCCAAATAATTAGAATAATATTATTTTATAATTGTTCACTACCGTAATCTCTCTACGTGACATACATGTTATATTAGTAATTTAATGCATAATAAAAAAAATTAACACATTAATGTATCAAACCACAAATCGCTATGTAGGATGTCACGTAGAGTGAAAATGAATAGCATTATTCAATTAATTAATGCTTAAGTCAGACTTGGAACCATCTAAGTAATGCGTTTGTTGGACATGGAACCCACCTTAAAATGTAATTAAGCACATCGAAAATCAAAGAGTAATGCTATTTAACATCGATGTGTTAGACTAGATGACCGTATTGATGACATTAAATCATAGTTTAATATGATCTACAACGTGCAACCACTTAAATTAATAGTAAACATCATGAGTGCTAGAAAGCATTATTAAAAACTCAAATAGATTAATTAAAATTTTGTATTTAAAGATTGATTCTTAACACAAATAGATTAACAAGTTTCGAAGAAAAATAAATGAATATAGTTCCAGTAATGTCTTTCAGGACTCGAAAGGAAGAATTTGGTTAGTGCAATGAAAAACAGTAAAAACTATGGTTTGTCTTGTTAAAGAGATACTCTGGTATCGTTTTACGTGGTGCGACCATTCAGTGGAGCTGTCATCTCATTGAATGGCACAGCCTCACCTGATGAGGTGAGGCCACCTCAAGATTTGAGTTCCTCTCTCTCTACCTCAAGTCCCGAGGTGGCATTATCTCATTGTGTGAGGTTGGATCATTCGATGAGGTGCCGGCTCCTCATTGGACGATCGTCCCACGTGGGATGAGATTGTATCTAAGTATTTCTTGTCTTGTTATAATTGTGTAAAACAGCCGTCATATTTGACTTCTTCTCTCACAGGTGGACCCCACTTTTCTCCTAACGGTCAAAAAATCAATTCTCAAAATCACTCCCAAACAGCTTCTTAATGTCTTCGATTGTTTATTGAAATTTAGTTTGTTGACTTTTGGCCACTCAACTTATCCAAATATTGGACGTTACTCACTGACATAACTTTCATTTCAAACCTTTAACGAAATTAATGACATGGTTAACGAAATGCACATATGACACCCGTCACGTCATTACACTTTGAGGTAGTCGAATTTTGGCCAACTAACCTTTGAAAAATGTCTCTGATTGTTTACTAAACCTTGAAAAAGTCTTCTATTAGTTATTAAACTTTAATGTGGTCGAATTTTGGCCATTGAATTTTGAGGTGGTCAAATGTTAACCACTAAACTTTGAAAAATATTTTTTTGCCACTAAACATTGAAAAATATATTCTATTGCTCACAATAAATTAGATTTAATTATAATTTATTATTAAAATTTGGATTAATTTGATTTTAACGACAAATCTATTGTGTGTTTTATTGCCAAATTTAAATTTTGCAAATAATGAAAATATCTAAAGATTCCACAAAAGTATATTAAATTAAATTTAACTGTTGTGTAATTGAGTAATCATTATTTGTGGGATCGACAAAGCTTGTAAAGCTGTACAAAGAAACTGGCTACTAATTGTAGCAAAACACACAATAAATTTATTGTTAAAATTGAATTAAATTCAAATTTTATTCCAAAATTTAATTAAATTTCAAAGTTTAGTTGTCAAAATTCAATTATTTCAAAGTTCAGTAGCCAAAATTCAACCATCAAAGTTTAATGAGCAATAGAAGGATTTTTCAAGGTTTAGTGAACAACTGAAGACGTTTTTCAAAGTTTAGTGATCAAAATTCAATTACCTCAACGTTTAATTGTGTGACAGGGCACACACATATGCATTACGTTAGCCAAATCACCAATTTCATTAGAGATTGAAAAAGGGAGTTATATCAATGAATAATGTCCAACGTTTGGATAAGTTGAGTGATCAAAATTAGACATCTTAAACTTCAGTGCCAATATTGGAACAATTATCTCCATTTCATTCTCCTTCACGTCCCTTAAAATCACACGGAAAAAGAGCGCCTGTAGAAAAGTTTGTTATCATGAAGCTTGCAGTGCCTCAAAACTTCCAACACATCCAACCCGTAATACTAAACCTTCATCAAACATCCGTGTCCCGTCCTCCGCCACCAGTCTCCACCAGTTGTCGCCGTACCTTCTCTCTCAAATCCCAGCAGACCCGAATCCCTAATCCTCAAACCACCCCCACCCAATACGAAGACGACGGCATCCCAATCGAACATGTAAAAACCTTAGTCAAATTCAAATCCCGACACAACTACATTCGAGTCCTCGAAGTTTCAAGAAGAGCAGACCATCCATTGGCAGGTTCCAGACTCCTCTTACTCGATGCCCCCGGCAACATCCACAGCATATCTTACCTTTTCAAGTCAATCACCAACACTTATTTTGATGTATTCGCAACATTGCCTCCTCTTCTGCCTCCTGGACCATTGGGGATTCTCGGGTTTGGGGCCGGATCTGCCGCGAAATTGATCCTGGAAACTTACCCACAAATCATCATCCATGGATGGGAACTCGACCCTTCTGTGATTTCGGTCGCAAGAGAGTATTTTGGACTTACTAAAATGGAAGCAAAATACCCAGATCGGCTTTTCATTCACATTGGGAATGCTCTGAATGCGAGTATCAAAGACGGGTTTTCAGGTATCCTAATAGATTTATTCAGTAAAGGCGTTGTGATACCCGAGCTTCAGAATCCACAAACATGGTATAATTTGAGGAAGAATTTGAAGAAAGGTGGGAGAATAATGGTAAATGTGGGTGGGAATTGTGTGGAGCCTGAGGATATTAGCAAAGATGGGAGTGTAATAATGGAAGAGACATTGAAGGCAATGCACAAAGTTTTTCCTGATGAACTCTTTGTGTTGAGTCTTGAAAGTAGAAAAGATGACAGTTCTCTTGCTCTTACAGGTAAATTTCCTGATGATAATGAATGGAAAAAGACATTGAAAAAGCCTCTTAATTTTTATGTAAATATGTGGGCACCCTATAAGGGATCATGTTGATCAGGGTTGATGTGGATGTGGTTCTTATGGAGGATTGAAGTTGAAATTATTGGTCATGTATGCATTTGAAGTGTTCGATAATATTCCTGATAGAGAATCTGTTCTCTGTTTCGCATGCCAAAGCCTGAAGGCTCAGAGCGTCCCATCATATGTAGATATCCATTTGAAGATAAGTCGACGAAGTTACAATTTTTTTAATTTCAAGAATATTTAATTTAGTACGGTTCTTCATCTTTAGATGACGAGCTTACAATGTTTTGAACTTCAAGAATTTTTTTATTTAGTTCAATTCTGTATCATCAGATGAATAGACGAAGTAACAATGTTTTGAATTTCAAGAATGTTTGATTTGTTGGACATCATTAAAACTAGAGGATATTTCAGTGGGTGTGAAAATTTGGGTATGGATTATCAAAAATGTCACATTTTAAATTGTCTATCAAAAATGTCAATTCAGGACAATTTTGTCCCTCTGAATCATTAGAATAGCTTTTGTGTCCTTGTACCAAAACTGTGTTAATTGTCAGGTGAAATGACAATTAATGTTGGAAACCAAACCACGAAAAAAAAAAAAAAACAAATAAGACATGAAATGAAAACAAAGGAAAGGAAGACAAACCGACAGACACAAAATCCCCAATCTCACTCGTCTCTCTCACTGAAATCGACCACCGCTCGGTCGTTGACGAAATTGGAAGTTTTGCTGCAATCGTCCGGCGCCCCACAGTCGAAGACCACCGGCAGAACCTTCGGCGTCCAAGGTCCTCTACGATATCTTTAAGTTCAGTGTTTTCTTTCCTTTTTTCGTTCCCGTGTAAATTTTTTACCTCTACTGGAATCAATGCTGTTGGCTCATGGAAAATGTACTCTGGTTTTCTGAAATTGCAGAAAGGGTTTTCGAATAATGTAGCAATTTTGTTCCCCTGCATAAACATTAAATTAAAAGATGTTATGGTAAGATTTTATAAGGCGTGACAAAAAATAATTTTTATTAAGGGAAATTTTTATGGGATTTGGAAATGAGTACATATAAGTGGAATGATAATGTTGAATGAAATAGAGCAATTGTGTGATCTGTGTTATAATGCATATCATGAATAAATTAAGGTTGGAACCTTCAGTTTTCGGTGGTGGAATATATTTTTGTTGGTTATGTATAAATGTAGGTGGGATATTTTTTGGGTTGGTTTTTTATTATAAATGTTGGGATTACATATAGAATTTTAGAGCAGGAACTGGTAGGAGCTAGAAAGGTGCTATGCGAGGCAGGAAGTTGTCAACCTATAAAAAGGAAAATGAAGTTTACTGTATGAGAGAATAGAGCAGAAAAACAATATATTTGGATATAGAATCTAATTGATATGGTGTTCCTTATTAAAGAGAATGGAGGATTTGTATGTTTAGAAATTCAATGTTTTACATCCTTTCATTTATTTAATTTGGAATGAGATACATTTGAGATTTCAAAAATTAAGCACCTGAATGAATTAAATGCAGGTGGGACATTTTTTTCTTGAATGGAAGAAAGAGTTTGATTAGATGGAAAAATTGATAAATAGATATTTAGAGTTGATGGTTTTGATTTACTGTGGATCAAAGTTCCAAGCAAAGGAAGTTAAATCATGTGAGAAGATTTACCTTAGGATCCTTTAACCAAATATATTGGTATTTCAATGGACTGTTTCTAGCTTTGGTGGGAGAGCAACTTTTTTTTGTTTGTTTTTGGCCAACCCAAAATGTTGTTGGCTCATGGAAAATGTACTTTGGTATTCTGAAATTGTAGAAAGGGTTTTCGTGAGTTCCACGTTGTATAAATCGGTTTGGAGTTTTTGTTTTATGCTTCAAAATTTATTTATTTATTTTTTTTGTTTTTGCCCAACCCATAATTATCTCCCGTTTGTTCAGTGAGAATTCAAGATTTTATGGAACGAAATAGTAAAAGATAGGAAAAATGGAACACAACCCTAAATCTTTTAACTGTACTGGAATCAATGCTGTTGGCTCATGGAAAATGTACTCTGCTATTCTCAAATTGCAGACAGGGCTTTCGTGAGTTCCATGTTGTATAAATCCATTTGGAATTTTTGTTTTATGCTTTAAATTTGTTTTTTTGTCTGTTTTTGGCCAACCCATAATTATCTCCTGTTTGTTCAGTGAGTATTCAAAATTTTATGGAAGGAAATAATAAAAGATAGGAAAAATGGAATGCAGCCCTAAATCATTGCAGACAGAAAGACTACATATAAAATTTAGTTTTTGCATTTTATAGGTGTGTAACTATTATTAGGGGAATAATATTATTATATTTTTAAATTTATATTTGTAACATCAACGTGTTATAAATTGTAATCGCATTATGGAATTTCCTAAATAATTCTATGATCATGAAATTATGTTTGCGCCTACCGACCAACCTACACCTATTGAAATAAAGGATTTTTATACCGGTCCATGTATAGATCCAAGAAGTTGATATTTTGGACATGCGGATGCATGAATGAAATAATATTATTTTAGCTTAAATTTTAAAAACATTTTTATATCTTGGTTCAGGCATTAGGTCACCACTCAAATAAAGTTTTAGGTTTAAATACATTCCTTTTTATAAAATAAATATATAGCAACGTTGATTAAAATTTAAACATTAGATATAAATGTATTTTGTTATTCTTGGTTGGGAATATTAGTATTTAATTTATTTAAAAATTGAAGTTTTGAGTCAGATTTATTTATTTATATTTAATTAATCATCAAACGCATCATATTACATCCAAATTTTATCAATTGTTTGATTTGAGCAACATCTAAAATTTAGATTATGTGAGTGTTTTGAGCAAATGATATGAGAAATAATTAAAATGGAAGTCTCTTAATTTTCAAGGAATGTCATTTTGTTTGTGTGCATAACATAAGTTCTTTGTGTAATTCAAATAAGGAAACTATTGATGGAAGTATTTACCTTAACAATTGTTGACATTCCAGTAAATGTCGTGTAACTTGTGGTGCATTTCTTCATAATCTATGGAAACGACCTTTTTGTTTTCCAATTTTTGTTAGACATCTTGTCCTAAGCATGCTGTGATGCACAATGCACTCCATTATAATTTTACTTGTGAAAAGAAATATATTAAAACAACTTTTCATAGGATGCCTTTTATAGATAACATTTAGAATTGTACCCTGATGTGGAACATGTTGAATCATATTATACTTTACGAACTTGTAGAATTATATTATACTTCGGGCAATTACGTATGAGAAAAAAATATTATACTTCGGGCAATTGTTGTACAATATGAAAATTACTTGGGAAAAAGTCTATAAAATGTACACATTTGTTGACAGGCCGTTGTTTAGCTGGATTATTAATGATATTGATTTCATAGGGAAAATTTGTAAATTACTTTTTAGTTCATCTTGTTTTTTTTCATAAATTGTCCATGTTCAATTCGTTGTTTCATTCAATAGCGTGATTGCCACAACTGTTGTATTGTCATGTACCGATAGTCCAGTTTAATTGCTGAGGACATCTATCCATTCGCTATCAAAGCAAAGCGATAGCACGTCCGTTGCCGTCCCCCAGCTGTAAGCTTCTCTCCCTCCCTCCCACTTAGTTTTGTATTTTTCAGTGATTTTTTCCTTCCATTTAGTTCACGGTAATTTGCAGTCGTCTTGAACTAAAAGGGAATTTGATTCGTTGTCCTTGCATGTCAATTTAGTTCACTTGCACATGTTAGTTTTGCAGGCAGACCAACTCCCAGCGAACTATCGTACTCGAGGTTTCACCTCAATTTTTCTCAACAGTTCACCCTTCAACCGTCGGTATCCACAGGTCTCGACAGATCATCTGTCGGTACCGACGGTTGACTTCAATTTTTCTCGACAGTTCACTGTTATGGCATATGATTTCGCTTCATTAAATTGCTATATACGTTACAATTATTCATTAAATCTTCATTAAATTGCTATATACGTTACAATTGTTTATGTTCATCCTGTAACCACGTTTTTTCCAATTCACCTTGCAGGCATGATGGAGTTCGAATTCCGTATTCCTGAAGATGCAAGGTTGCGGGCCCATATTTCACAACATAGCAACCTCAAGTTGGTGAAGACTGTGATGGACCATTTCGACGAGCGGCAACGGGAGGACTTTCGCAACTCCTTCCTCGGGTATCTGGCTGAGGTTCCGGATATTTAATTCTCTGCCCAACTCATCCAGCAACTAGTGTTCAGAACCGTCGGCACAGATAAGCTCTACGAGCTATGGTTCAGCGTGCAAGGGCACCTCACGAGATTTGGTCTACAGGAGTACGCGTTTGTGACGGGGTTAAGATACGGTTCATTCCCGGAGGGTGTTGAATACGAACGAGTGCTACAGAGGAGGAGGTTGAAAGAGAGGTATTTCAAATCCAATGACAAGATTTCTTTAACTCAACTCTAGTCTGATGTGGCCTGATCTTCGACATCCCAAGCTGATCGCTACAAGTTAGGGCTGGTTCTAATTCTCGAGGGAGTTTTCAATGCTTCGGATAATAATATCGGTATCCATTTGCCTACACTATCAATCGTGGACAACCTCGACATATTTTTTGCCTACCCTTTGGGTAGGGTCAGATATAGGCATCTGTTGCACGGATTTCGAGGTACTTGGACAAAAATATTCCAAAAGACAAAGAGGAGGAAGGAGAATGAGATTACTTACACGGTCCACGACTTTCCCATCGCTATGCAGGTATGAACATTCGTTCTACTATTGTAGCATGCCTAATTTTTCCCTGGTAGCGTCGCGCCTAGAATCTTTCAAAATTTAATTTCTCTTTCTTGCTCCGTCAGGTATGGGCGTACGAGGAGCTTCCGGAGGTTGGGGAATGTTTTGCTGAGCGAGTAGGCAAACGACTGCCACGACTTCTTCACTGGTCGGCACGAAAACAGCCACAACATCATACGTATGATGCATTCTTCAAGAATGTCAAGGTATACATAGAACACGATCCTAAGTTCCTTTTCGAACGTTTCAATACAATCTTGTGCCTTCTAATGTGAGTACTGTAACCTTGTTTTGCAGCTCCACGTGTACGCAACACTGTGTCCCACCGATTCTGAGGCTCAACAACCCTATTTTTCCACTCTCGTGCCGTACGATGATCCCCCCCCCCCGGTTTTAGTTCTGGATGACATTGCAAGGACCGTTGTAGCGCCACATTTAATGCATCGGATGACGACAGTGGCGACGGTAGACATGTGGGCAGGGAGGATTCTGACGAGGAGGCATCCGAAGGAGGAAACAGTGAGGAGCAGAGGTCCGAAGGTGATGAGGAAAAAGGTACGTCGAGCAGCGACCCAGACGGTGAGGACAGTGACCATA